TGGTCATTACACGGATTGTGTGGGCGTGGAAGTAAGGTCGCAACTTTCTGGAGGCGATCAGCAGGGCATAAGCCAATCGCTCCATTTTTGGATACCGCGTCTGGGTATCTAGTAGATGCTTGCTCGCGTAATAAACTGGTCATTGAACCTTGTTCTCTTCCCGAACAAAAGCTACACTGACCGCATACTGAGAGACGGACAGATACAGAAGGAGAATTTCTTGTGGGAGAGGCTTGGACAGAAGAGATGGCTTTCTGAGGTACTCTTTAATGCTCTAGAATGCCTGTTCGCACTCGGGAGTCCACTCAAACTTCCTATTGGCCCTGAGAATGTTGAAGAATGGCAAGCAGCGATTTGTTGCCCTCGATATGAAGCGACTGAGTACCGTTATTCACCCATTGAGACTCTGAACCTGTTTTCGGTTGGTCGGGCTTTTCATGTTGAGGAGAGCTTGGATTTTCTCGGGGTTGATCTCTATTCCCCTCTGGTTAACCATGTACCCCATAAATTTTCCTGAGGATACTCCGAATGAGCATTTGAAAAGATTGAGCTTCATTCTGTACTTCCAGAGGATGTCGAACATCTCAATGAGATGCGCTATGTGATCTGAAGTGACATGCGACTTATTTAGCAGGTCATCAACATAGACTTTCATCGACTTCCCGATCTACTCGGAAAATATTCGGTTAACCAGCCGCTGATAAGTTGCTCTAGCGCTTTTCAGGCCGAAGGGCATAACCCTATAGCAATACAACCCCCGATCTGTAACAAAGGAGGTATGCTCTTCATCCGGTGCATACATCAAAATTTGATTGTATCCCGAGTATGCGTCCATAAAACTAAGCAGCTCGTGCTCGGAGGTGGCATCAACCAGCTGGTCAATCCTTAGTAGGGGAAAACTATCTTTTGGACAGGCTTTGTTGAGGTCGGTGAAGTCAACACAGGTCCGCCACTTGCCATTGGGCTTCTTTACTAGAACCGGGTTGGCAACCCAGCTCGGGTAAAGCCCTTCCCAGATGGACCCATTCTGAAGAAGATTATCTACCTCGATTTTCAAGGCAGCATATCGTTTAGGATCCATCGCTCTTCTTTTCTAGTGGACTGGTCTGGCTTCACTATCGATGTTCAAGGCATGGCAAATGATGTTCGGGCTGATCCTGACCATATCGGCATGCGTCCATGCGAACACATCAATATTTTCTCTGAGGAAGCTGGTCAGGTCAGTAGCGAGCTGGGGTTGAGATTGCTTCCAATCCTCAACACTCGGCTTGGCTCATTCTGGTCGACTGATACTTCTGATAGATCCTCAACTGGCCCACTGGAAGGGCATTCCTGGATACGATGATTCATATTATCCTCGGCTGGGCCAGGCTGTGGTTCGATTCGACTAATCGCCATTGCCTGTTCAGGAATGCCACACGGGATGTCTTTCCCCTTGCATGCCATCTACACTGCCCTTACATAGCAGTCGCGAGATGCGCACTAAGATCCGTTTACTTCCCCTATCCCCGTCGGGGTAGGGAACTTCATCTTGAGATGGTAGATCAAAGTGACTGCCTTGAAGTTTCTTAGTAGAGGTCGCCCTAAGATGCCATTGAAAGTGGCAGGGCAGTCCACTACCAAGAATTCAATGACCCTGGTCACCTCGTCGGAGTCATCCAGTGTAACTGGAAGCGAGATCGTTCCCTTTGGGATCAGGTGATCCCCTGTAAAACCATATATGGGGATAGAGGCAAGCTTCAGATCGGCCTCATCCAATTTCATTCTTTCGAAAGCTCACTGGAATAGGATGTTCACAACTCTTCCGTTATCCATCAATATTCTGTAGACGTCGCAGCGCCCTATTCGGGGCGTGATGACGAGAGCATCGTCATGGGGATGATGCAATCAGACTGCGTCTTTTTCAAAGAAAGTGAGTTCCTCCTCCTTGTGAACCTTTGATGGTCGTTGTGTCATGTTCATCACACGGATAGGGTCGTGATGGGTTGCACGAGCATATCTTTCTTGGGCACCTCGCGAGTTCCCTCCGAGGTGTGGTCCCCTAAAGATTATCCCCACGTTACAGATACCCTTGCGATCACAACGCTTCTTGCCTGGTTCCTCTCGATTTTTCTCCCTTACGAGAGCAGAGTCATCAACATACTCGTTGAAATGCCCCTGCCTGATAAGGTGTTCGATAGCCTGCTTGAGAGCTCGGCACTTATCAGTGTGATGCCCATTGTCCCGATGATAACGACAGTACTTTTTACTGTTTCTAGCTGAGGGGGGATTTTTCATGGGCTCAGGTTCTCCGAGCAGGCCAACCTTTTCTGACTTGTCAAGAATGGCCGAGACAGATGCATTCAAAGGGGTATATTGATTCCTGTCGCGATCGCGACAAGGAACTGGAGCATAAGACTTCTTGGGCTCAAACAGCTGCTTCTTTCCTTTTTGCTGATCATCGTTAGCCCATCGGCGATCAGCCCTCCTATTTTCCCCCCGACCTAGAGCACTGCCCGAAGGACCAGGGTCATGGCAGTGGAGCACCGCCACGGAGTTCTAAATACGGAGGTATTTCTCCGTAAGGCTGTAGAAGTGGGTGAGGGAAACATCGTCCTCTGACTACAGCTCTTTCCACAGATCTATCTGTGGACGAACTCCCGCTATGATAAGAGTCCGAACGGACTCTTCGGGAGTATGAGCTACTTTATGGAGTTCCCTATGGAACCTATCGATGTAAGATTGGAGGGTTTCATCCCTCTCTTGCCTTATGTTGCTGAGGTAGCTCAAAGGCATTGAGAACTTCATGTTCGCTTGGAAGTGTCTCAGGAACGTCTAGCTCATCTGATTCCACGAGCTAATTGATCCCGCCGGGAGCGACCTGAACCATCGCTTGGCATGAGATGTTAGAGTTACTGCCAAGCAACGGCATTTTGCCAAGTCAGAAACTTGGTGAAGTTCCATCAGGTCGTTGAATTCGTACAAATGATCCTACGAATCAGAATTCCCATCGAACGGCAGCATATCGGGCATTCTGAATCTAGATGGGAGAAGAGCGGCTAACACAGTCGGAAAAAATGGAGACGCCTCTGCGACCTACCCTCGCTCATTTTGCTGAGCTTTTAGTTGATCCAGGGCTCGCTATTGCTTCTCAATCTGAGGCAGCAGAGCCATCTAGAGATTGCTTTCCCCAACGCAGATTCGACCCTCGCGATTGTGGTTGAGGAAAGTTCGAAGGTCGGATTCCTCCTCGCCTCAGTCGGCAGTTCCGACCGCTCTTGACACACGCTCGCTAAAGTCGTGCGATAGCGCTGAATGGTCTGGGGAACCTTCCCAACCTCTGCGGTGGTGCGAACCGACCTGCGGATGGTGGGAACTTCCCGCGCGATGATAATCGGAGTCGTCATTTTGGCGATAATGGGAATTTCCTCGCCTTGCACTTTTATGGGAGTGCTCGCGCGATTTTGCGAGGAACAACTCTGGCCGCGACATGTCACTGAGTCAGCGTGCCACGGGTATTCTACCTGCGGTGCGATCGGTGTTCGCTGGTCCCTCGAAGCCTCTAGGCCCGTTGTTCGTCACATGCTTTCCCTTTCTTTGACGCGCTACAGTGCGTGCGGCATGGGCTATTGCCCTTTTTTGCGCTTTCATGCGACCTGCAGGCGTTTTTGGCGATGGCATGCCTCATTTGATTCGGGTGGTGCGACCTGATCCAAGCGATCCAGCCTTTGGTTGACCGTTTAGAGAGTATTGTTGAACCTCTCCAAGTAGCTCATGACGGATGGATCAAGCCGTGAGCTTGAAGGGATATCCCTCACAAGATTTTGCGGGACTAAGGGCACTTCAGAAGAAGTGTCCTCTTGTACCTAGGGGATCTCTTCCTCACCATGATTGGTTCGCTCAGGTTCAAATCGACGAGCCATTTGCTGTTGGTGGGATCGATTAGTTAGAGATTCTCCTGATTAAGGACGAATACTAAATCAGGCCCTCCTTCTAGCGCCAAACTGTTGATGCTTGATTTTGACACCAACTAAATGTACGTGAGAAATGCTGAGCTGACTCAGATGACACACATGTATGGGGGTATTGAACTGAATAGAAGACGAAAAACAGTGTTTAAAGTGGTTCGGATGCTTAAGAAAGCGAATCCTACATCCACTGGTATCGTATTAATATATTTGAGATCAAGTTGCATTCAGCGAGCTGACTTACAAGAGATTACAAGAGAGAGAGAGAGAGAGAGAGAGAGAGAGAGGGAGAAAGAAAGAGAGTATATATGTTATTCCAGAGAGAAATTAGCTAATCCCACAAACGGGAGAGGATCCCTCTATTTATAGTGGGATGAATTGAGGTAATGATTACTAAATCAGGGAGTAGGTCAAATTGTCGTGCAAATCGTTCATTGTGTCTCGTTGTTCACTTGCTCGAGTGATTTACTCGACTCTTGCAGGGATTGGACACGTGGATCGCCTCCAACCTTTCACCAGTCTGGCGCACTCCCACTGCACTGACAGGAGCATACAGCTAGCATCAGCGTGCAACGTGGTTGCGTCTAAATGGCTGCAAGACTTACCTAAGCTCTTATTGCTTACGCTAACAGGGTTCTACGTCAGCCCTACTTTTCCAGGCATAATAGCTTAATATTCTTTAATTGTCATATAAGTGGATTTCCATTACAAAATTGGAGCTCTTTCTTAGCAAAAATAATAATAAAATACAAAAGAAAATGTTTATACTTACTCTAAATCACGTTCATTCATTATTAATTAATGGCATCATCGTAAACAGGGGGTTGTGATTTGTGAACTAAATTGACGAAGATACAGGCCCACACCGCCCCTAATAAAAAATATAGCTCACAAATGAAAACAAAACGCGGTTCATTGACTTCTATATTATATATTTTTAGGGTGCCCAGCAGTCATCTGGTTGTTTCCTGGTATGTGCGGCACCTTCACTTCACAAACAGAACATGAAAATAAAGAAGACATTTTGGAGAATGTAATTTTGCAAGATATTCCTTTTTTTTTTTTTTTTTTTTTTTTTTTTTTTTTTTTTTTAAGATTAGGAGAATCTGATATTCAACCTAATTTTCTTGCAGCAAAACCAACTCCTTATAGAATGGTTCTTCTATTAGATTAACTTTTTGCTTGTGGACAATACAATTGGCAGAACAACAATCAACAAATGAACCTTAATTATGCTACCGATTGATTACTGGCTTTGGTCGATAGATAGGTCACAATCCCGGTGGTTGAAATACAAGTAGTTTATTTTACCAGAGGATGAGAGTGCTGGAATCGGAGAAAAACCAGCATACGCCTTTTCTGATTTTGTTAAGCATATTTTGGCAACATAGTTGAATTGTTCATGTTGGCGTACAAATGATTGGGCGGCATAATCCTCAGCGGCCATCCACTGCAAAAGGGAAAGAAAAAAATATCATGTTATGATCTTAAGACTTTTTGGTTGATGATTAAAAATCTAATATCTCACAAACGTAACTAATAGCCAAAAGCATTTAGTATATTAGTTTGTTCAAGAAAGTACCTGAGCAGCTTCAATTTCTGAATCTTGTTTTTGAATGTCAGAGGAGCAAGGTCGTAGCATGCAAACAAACATCAAATCCGATTTTCGAAAGAATGCACGGTGGCTTTGCCTGTATGTCAAGAGTTGTAGAATTTGGAGAAATAGGGAACACGTAAGTAATCAATATCGACAATGTTGCGAAAAAAGACAGAGGGGATCATCAATTGAAATGAAGAAATGTTTTTACCTGAAGGCTAAAACTTCAACAAATTCTGTATCAACCTGAAGCAAAATAAAGCAAATAATAATAGAATTTTATCATGAGTTTGGAACATCGCAGAAAGCAAATATACACAAATATATGTATAGCTCACAAATTTGATACTTGATTGTGTCTAAGAATGAGTAGATTAAAAATACTTACTCCTGTCTCTTCTTTAACTTCTCTAATTGCAGCTGTCCAGATATCCTCACCCTGTGGATAATAAAATTTCAGCTCTTCTAATTATTAAATAATTAAAAAGAGAAAATTCAAAGGCACCATGCTTTCTAATGAACCCACCTCCTCCGCAACTCCTGTAGGAAACTTCCATACGTCTGTACCTCCGAATTGTCCAGACCTCTCCTTAACTACGAGAACCTACCAAAGACGGAATAATTCAATTTCAAAAGTCCTCTCACCAATAAACCATCACCTTAACGTATGGTTGAGACTAATAAACATCTGATCGATCTACTGATCAGAAGGTGTATGGTCCGTACCTCTCTCTTATCGTTCAGGACAAAAGCACAAACTCCAATACGATGCGAAGAATTTGTAGGAATGGTATCAGAAGTTTTAGGAATCCAATACACAAGCATCAAGTAATCTGGTTCGGCATGGTGGTACCTAAACCCTTCCTGCTCAATTTCCAGATAAAAATTAAGAATCGCAAAAGATAAAAGAAAGTGGAAGAGAGACAATTAAGATAAATTGTGTTTAATTACTTGAACTGTGGGTTCCACAAGATTTGCCAGATGAATTGGCAATTTAATCCAAACACCCCTCTTCCTCTGCAAAATGTTACCGTCACAAACTGTAATTAAAAAAAAAAAACCACTCTTTATATTGGTTAAAATTAATAAGCCAATTACCTGTTGCCTCCAATATGATAATGATGTTCTAAGCACAGAAGTGAACACCTTGGAATCCATAGGCTTTTCCATGTTTACAGTAACTCCTCCATATGAATCTTCATCTGCATCAAGTACCAACTGCCTCTCAAGCGAAGATGAACTTGTTGAATTTGACATGTTTTTGGTAAGAATTGTGATTCTACAGAGCAATTAAAATACTTTAATCGTTAAGACTTAGAAATAAGCAAACCAATGGAAGAGACAGGTTATATCACAACACTTTTGGATTATCTATGAGCAGACCCAGTAAAATTTCCACAAAGACAAAACCTAAACACGCGTTAATTTAGCATCGCAAGAAAAATTTCCAGGCATAATTTCTAAAAAGATACAGAACCTTTCTAACCGGTAAAGCAGGTAGATGGTGAAATAGCGTATTGGCTCTAAGACTTTCTGCTTCAAAAGAGACCTTGGACTCTTAATTAGAAAGCATAACAGTCGGGTCTGGCGGTCTGCCAGTTCTGAACGGTCCTTCGTTGAAGATTGATTCAACTTGGCTGAAGCCACGCAGAAGTTACCATATATATTGTTTAGTATAAAGGGTACGACTAAAAATACAAAGAACAAGTCGAAGAGAAGAACAATTTGTTGCGCAGCGTCCACGTTTCATTCAATTAAAATATCTGCTTGTTAATTTGTTATATATTTAATTTTAATATAAATGTAAATATAACACCATGATAATAATTTAGTGGTGAGCAGCTCTGGGTGTCCAGTCTAATCCCTTGGAACCGGAGCCGACTCGAGGGTTCCTAGGATTTAGGAATTGGAAAGGAACCTGTTCGGTTTTGGTTCCGATTGTTTGTGTCGTCCGAGTCCAACACTGTTCACAAAATTATAATATACCCTTCTTACTCGAAAAAATAACAAATATATCCTATGAAAATTACAAATCCCCCACTATTAACAGAAATTACAAATACACTCTAAAAACCCGTAGGTTCCATATCAAGTACTCGGTCCTCCGCTCCAGTTCCAATTCCCAGGTTCGGGTCTAGTTCTTGAAGCAGTAAATCCAGACGCTAACTCGTACAATGTCGATTCCACAAATTTTGGAATCGAAATCGACCTTGTGAGAGTCAGTTCTGGTTAGGAATCGAAACTGACACCTCGAGTATCCGTTGGTTCTGGTTCTATCCTAAAAAAATTTAGGCCTAGATTATATTGCATGAATAACGTGGTAAGAGACTTTAGGTGAATGGGAATTAATTAAAGTTGCAGTTGCAGGCGATGAGAGGTTTCTTCTCAAGAGGCAACATGTTTGACAATGGCAGCAGGCGGGACTTAATTAATGACATTTTCATCCCTGATCTTTGACAAAGTTTATTAACTACGGCCAACAAAACCAAGAAAAGCTACCTCAGGCCCTTTTTCTCCATTAAATGGTGTAACGGCATTTTTGTCCTTTTGTACAAGTAAGTGAATAACTTTGCGAAATTTTTAATTACACTCTTAAAAGAGTAATGCTATTGGTCCATAATTGATCTTAATAAACTCACCTCTAAATTTACTACATTAATATTTTAAACATATCTAAATGTCTAAATAAACCCTTTCCATTTACAAAATAACTCTTTGTTTTATATTTTTACTAATGTTATACTTAATCTTTGTTTTATATATATTATTCTTCTTATTTTTTTTATCTTCATTTAATATATCAATCAAGCGGGGACCAATACCATCACTCTTTTTTTAATTTAATAATAAAAAAGATAAAAGAAATAATAAAGTTAAAGTTAAAACACAGTATATATAAAAATTAGGTAATATAATAAATAAAAACATTTGAAAAAAAAAACTAACCCCAGTTCCCAGCCCCAGCCTCACCAATCACCTCTACCTCATCCCATCAAAATTTTTACCAAGTACAAACTACAAAAGATATCGATTATCTTCCTGACCTCAGTGCAAGATAAATGGTGAAGAAGATGTTTATGTTCACAAGGCGTACTCCGATCAATCTGAGAATGATTCTACATTATTCCTCAAATTACGGTTGGAAGAGTTGAAAACTGGAGGCCGCATGGTCCTTCCACAAATGGCTGATGATAAACACAACCCTAGTCTTTGCGAGCTATTAGGGATGGTTGCAAATGATTTGGCTTCCGAGGTAACTCTCACTTTTTCTGTGTGCATTGAGGATACAAGTGTTCGGGTATTGATTGTTGGCTAGTTAATTAAAAGGGCTCTTGAGAATTACAATAATGGCAGCTATATATTATATTTTGATTTAGATATTTGTAATAAAGAGGATTTCACCTTAGTTAACGTTGGCTCGGAAAATCAGTAGAGTCTATACCCTTATTTTCATCAATTAATGAAAAATTCGAAATACAATAAGAATTGAAGGATCAAAGGTGACACTTCGATTAGATTGTCCCCTAGTCGAATTAATTGTTTGGTTAAGGAGAAGACGAGCGAAATCTACTTTAATAAAGTCCCCTTTTATATTGGATGGGACCACTTTATCATTTTGGAGAAAAATGTGTAAATTATGTTTTAAGCAATGTTTTAATAGTTGGATCGAGCCTAGGAGCCAGTCTTTGGGTTGTGTGGTCTAACTGGTGGGTCAGACCGATGACGTCAACAAAAAAACCTTAGTATGAAAATTAATGATAGACACTTGAAAAATTATACACCAGTCTCTATAGGTTTAAAATCTAATAAATACACCCTTACAATCTGGCCAAGAAACCCTAGCCTCTGCAATTGCAATCCACCCCAGATCAACCTAACGCTGGACAAATCACCACCATGTCCCCACGAAAAACCTAATCCACCACAAAACACCAACATCCGCCACAACAAACCCACCATAAACGAGGGGAGTTGTCTGGTGGAGATGGCAAGCTGGTGAGATGGTGTCGGTGCTAAGTAGACAATATGGTGTGGACGGCTAAAGGTCGTGCAGCGCGAAGAAGAAACCCAGATTTGGCGAAGGTGAGGGTGACGAAATCAGGCCAAAATGGGGTTGGTTCGAAGGTGTTTTCCGTGATTTTGGATGCAAAATCTGTCGGAAAATAGCAAAATAGTCAGTGAGAGTTGATTGGTTCTTTGACCTGGCAATTGAAATGGCAGCTCAACACTGTTCTGCCAGTTCAACTGCGGTCAATCCGAGCCAATGGCTAAAATCAAGTTTAGAGTGTCCTCAGACCAGAGAAGGGGTTGGTTCCCGATCAGACCAGTCAAACCGATCAATCCGGCCCAGGTTTTAAAACCATGGTTTTAACTTTTAAGCGCGGGCTAATTAGTGAGCGTAAGCAACAATATCTCTGATGTGGGCATTCTAATAATAATAACAAAACTATGGTTTCTACGAAAACAATCATTTATATGTCATGCCAGCTGAGATCATAACATTATTTTATATATAACTCAAATTCAGGGGCTGATTGAAGAATCAAGATTGGATTCATTCAATATGCCGTTCTATGCACCTTCTGCTGAAGAAGTAAGGCATATTATTGAGAAAGAAGGATCGTTTAACATCCATCAGCTTCAAACATTCCATCTAAGTTGGGTCCAAAATTTTGACAATGATAACAAAAAGGCTTAGAGTTAGACAAGTACGCGGGAGGCAATCAAGTTGCAGATCGTTCAAGAGCAGCAGTAGAGTCACTTCTTGTAAATCATTTTGGGAAAGCCATCATGGATGATTTGTTTCAAAGATTTTCAATCAAAGTAACCGAGCACTTAGAAATGGAGGCTGGAGCATATCCGAATGTGTAAACTGCATTAAATTCTAATTTGTAAGCTTTGTCTGGTGTTACTCTTTCGTGCTTCTGTGAATCATGTTTGAGCTTTATGTCAATTGATATACAGTTCTGTTGGATGTCATCCTCATCCCTACCAACTGTCAATTTATTTAAAGTAGTTTCCTTTAAAACTTTAAGACACTTAAAGGAATGTATATATTCTATTAAAGGTGCCGACTAAAATGTAAAAATGGAGTAAAAAGTGTGATTACATTTGGCCCATTGTTGATCTTGTTTAGCTTATCTGCAACTGCAAGTACACATCGGCCCTGGATTGGTTGAGAAACTGTTCCTGATAAGGACAACAATTATTGCCTTCGCTAGAAATACGTCATTAATTGATTTAATGGGAGCTGCCGTGACTTTAATCAAAACTTAACTTTGTATGTTAATCAACAGTTATATATAATCCTAATCTTACACGTCTCCATAATAATCAAACGACGATCCCAAAGAGCAGCTTTTTCTAGAACTTGGTGGTTTGATGCGTGAGGTGTTAAGACATAAGGCAATAATGGAGTTAGAGAAAGTTCTACATATGAATGGAGGAGATGGAGATAACAGCTATGCTAACAACTCTTCACAACAGGTCAGTCGGATCAATTCCTCTCCCTTTCTCTCTTTTTTGCCCTCTGTTATTTATTCACTGATCAATTGCATCATCATCTTTTAGAAAGAGGCCATCTTGAAAGCTAAGCCCCTGCTACAAGAAACCATGACTGAATTCTATTGCAATAACTTCCCAGACTGCATCAGATTTACAGATATGGGGTGCTCTACAGGGCCTAACGCACTTTTGCCTACATGGGAAATTTTAGATGCCCTTCACAAAACCTGTCACAGCTTGAACCGAAAGCCACCTGTATTGCACGTCTTTCTCAATGATCTTCCTGGAAATGATTTCAACACAATTTTTAAATCACTTCCAGGGTTTTATGAGAGACTGAAGAATGGGGAGAATCAAAATGAGTTTTTGTCATGTTTCATTGCTGCAGTGGCCGGATCTTTCTATGGGAGACTATTTCCTCCTCGTTTCCTTCACTTTGTTTTCTCCTCTTACAGCCTCCACTGGCTCTCTAAGGTACAATTAAGGTTTTTTTAATCAAATGATTATTAATTTGACATGATATAATTGAATCAACCCACATATGAGTTGGTTTTTTCCTTGCTAATTGATAAATTTGAGCTCACATATATAACCTGTAATAAGACTATTTTTTCAATTATTATGAGGTACCTGAAGGGCTGGTAAGTGAAATGTCGATTCCGGTGAACATATGGAATATTTTTCCAACAAGAACAAGTCCACCTGGTGTGCACAAGGCATACTTGGATCAATTTGAGAAAGATTTCACAACATTTCTCAAGTTACGTTCACAAGAGTTGATTACTGGAGGCCGTATGATCCTTACACTTGGGGGCAGTCAATCAAAGGATGAATCTTTGAAGAATTATCGCCCTATACTTTTGGAGTTAATTGGACAGACATTGCACGAAATGGTCTTAGAGGTATCCATCTTTTACTCTTATATATCTGTATACGAGGCATGTTAGATATGATTTATACATTTCTTTCTCTGTTGTAGGGAGTAGTTGAAGAATCGAAATTAGACGCATTCAATATGCCAATATATGCACCTTCGCTTGAAGAAATAAGATATGTGATTCAAAGAGAAGAATCCTACTATATCAATCTACTCGAAACGTTTGAGCTAAGTTGGGATGCAGGGTCTAACAATGGTGAAAATAGCTTAGAGGGAAAGTATACAAGAGGCAAGCAAGTGGCAATGAAGTCCAGACCTGTACTAGAGCCCATTCTAGTTAGCCACTGTGGAAATGACATACTGGATGATTTATTCCAGAGACTTTCTATCAGGGTTGCAGATTGCATGGAAAAGGGGCTAGGAGTATACACAAATGTGATCATTTCCTTAACAAAGAAATGATTTATGTGTTTTATCTTATTGCGTTATCAATCATTGTTTTTCTAATCATCTTGGAAATGTTTTAGTTTGTAATATAATAATTTTTTATGAGTTCAAACATTACATATGAGCAAATCAAGCAAAGGTTGAGTTCATAAAGCAATCATCCACGAAACAAACAGTAAGAAACTTCTACAAGACACTTGATAAGCAAGCTGCCACTAAACACTCCAGAGTTCATAATCATAGTTACAACACCATTACTCATCATATAAATTAGAGGGAAGGAGTGAGGAAGAAAATGTCTTCAAGCCGATCATTGCTGGGAGAATTGCCACCATATACCAATAGCCCTTGTTTGCCATCCCGACACCCACCTGCAAAAGCACACCAGCCGCGAGGTCCTGGATGAATATTCGAGTCCTGCCCATCATCCCACCGTGTCCACACTAATGTTTCCGTGTCCAATGAATAAAGTTCACCAGAAAATTTTCCTGCTCCCATGTGACCCAAGTCACTCGGGTCAATTTCTCCACCATATACAATTATGTATTTTCCAATCCCAACAGTAGAAAACACACTGCGGGCCGTGGGCTTTTCACCACTCGTCTCAACTTGGGACCACTGTCCATGGGCTGGATCAAAGCAATGAACATCATCCACTTCCACTCCCGCGAAACCATATACAACCCATATTTTCCCTTGGGCCACAACCAACCCAGGCCCGCCTCTACCCTTGCAATTGTCCCCTGGCGTTGGATATTTGATCCACTTTTGATCAACAACATCAAATGCCCATAAATCATTCAGCCGGCCAGAAACACCACAACCACCGAAAATGTACACATGGCGATCATCAGCAGTCATTGAGTGGTAGCTCCGATGAGGCGGCCCAGCATCAGCGCTAGATAGTAGGGTCCACTTACTTGTAGATGTATCAAAAGAGTAGAGTTCATTCAGCTCTTTATGTGTACCATCTCTACCACCAAATACATAGATGGTTTTTCCAACAGCTGCCATTGTGACACCAACACGTGGTGGAGGGACATCCTCGGTTACATCCGCCACAGACCATGTTAGGGTTTCAAGGTCAAAGATATGGAGCTTGTTGTCAACCGGGACTCGTGGCGTGAACTCGCCACCAAAGGCATAGATTTTTTGTCCTACTAGTGCTATGGCATGAGAGCTTCTGGCTCCAGGCCCAGTCCCTTTTTGGTCAAGCTGAAATAAAATTACGAAGGCTAAGTTGAACTAAACTTGGTTGCTCAGAGTGTTGAGAATGTTATTGCAACAAGACCAGAAATGGTCAAACTAAATAAATGTGGATGATTGAGAGGAATCATGTAGTATAAACTATGAAGTCAACTGATTAGGCCCAATGAATTTGTAATTAAGTTATTAGAGGCAATATCTTTGTCATGATGACTTGATATGGTGGTTGTCCATTGTATAAGGAATGATAAAAAGAAAAAGAATATCAATGTTATGGTTTTCAATGAGAATATGCACCACAACCAACAAGAGAAGAAACTGTCATTGTACATTTTGAGGGGAAACAACTGAGAAAAGAAGTGGATGTAAACAAGAGCAACAACTTTTTCATTAGTCAACTTGTAATGAGTCTCGTTTGTCTAAATACGAACTAACCAATCACAAACTATCACATCAGAGTTATATAAAAAGGTGATATGAAAAAGTTGTAAATGTAATTTTATTAGTACACCAAACAAGATCATTTGTAAAGAATATCCATGGATTTCTTCATTGACTTCAAGATCCACTGATGCCTAAGTTTTATATGCTTTAATTTGATATTTCATTTTTATCTTCTCCTCAGCTTATCCTGTAATCTTGTTTCAACATTTGCTTACTGACTAAACCCAATTTTAAACATATCTCTATCAAAAGAGCCAAGTAAAAGCCAAGAAATGTCGATTAATACTAGACAATTAAAGCTAAGAGGAAAACAAAAAGCATAAAACGAAACTAACTTGAAAATCCCATTCAACTACTACTTTAAGTGTTTGATTAAAGGAACAAAGAGATCAATAATCAAATCAACAAAGAGAAAGCTTGCAAGTTAAGATTAGAGAAGGCTTTAGATTCCATGAAATTACTAGATTCCCAAAATGAAGAAAAAGCCAAACAATTTCAGCAGTCTGAAAAAGCCCGCAAGTTAAAATTTACATACTCTTGGTTTCCAAGAAATTTACAGAAATTCCTTACAAAGCACAATCAAACTAAACAAACTCAACATTCAGAAAAAGCCTGGAATCTACAAATAAGAAAATTCTTCAGAAAAATCCTGGTTTCCAAGAAATTTAGAAAATTTCCCTAAAAGGAATGATAAAACCAAATAACTAAAAAGGTTGCATGCTCAAAATCAGAAAAAAAGATTAGATACTCTGTTTCCATGAAATTTTTACAAGAATTCCTTACACAAAAATAAAACCACACCCACCTAGTTGGATTGATGAAGAAGCAATTAAATTAAAAGCATATTGAACCGAATGAAAAATGTTAAGTTTTGCTAAAGAATATTAAAGCAAACCTTGACCCAATTGCCTTGCATCGAAGCCATAATCACTTTAAAAAGATCGCGAATCTGGACACACTCACTCAGTTCCAACTTGAAACTAAAATCCATTGAATGTTAAAATTTATAAAGAAACCTTAAGCAGTCAATGAGGGCAAAAAAGGAAGATCAAGAGACATAGAAATATAGAATTATATCATTGATCATCTGAAGGATGAGGTTTCATCGTACCAAATGCCAATACATACAGAAGACATCTGGTTGGGTAACTTACATATATGCCCTCTAAACTGTTGTCATTAGAAAAGGTTGTTTAGATTTAATTAATTTAGAACAAGGCATGGGATGTGCAGGTGCAGGTGCAGGTGCAGGTGCTCTTACGTAAGCTGTATTTGGAAGCTAATACTAAAACCATTAATCACCAGTTAATACCTTCACTAGCTATGGACATTATATTATATAATACAATACTGTTGTGCAAATTGCACATAATGGCTAATGCCTTCACTAGCTATGGACATTAATCATCAGAAGGTTTAGGTTTCATCGTACCAAGACATACAAAAGACATCTGGTTGGGTAACTTAAATATATGCCCTCTAAACTGTTGTCATTAGAAAAGGTTGTTTAGATTAATTAAGGGGGAACTACTTACACATACCCAAAGTTTGCTGTAAAGACAAAGTGGTACCCAAAAGGTTTGGAAATGACAATCACCCACTTTTCGTTATGTTCTGTTAGTCTACTAAAAGACAAAAATAGTGAAAAACTAGAATACCCATCGATCTCCATTCCCAACGCGCGCCAGCAAGGTTCAATGCCACTGTTTATCACCGAACTTCGCAGAAAAATGCTAAATGTGGTCAAAAAATCGATCGATGACGTAAGAGGGCTGTGCAAACGGGCTTGGAGTGAGAATGGATACGGAGAAAAAGATTTAAAATTTAAAAATTTCGTGACTGTAGATGAAATTTCTATACTGTCTTTTAGCAGACAAAAATTCCTAACAGAATATGATAGAAAGTATTTGTTTATCATTTCCAAACCTTTTGGGTATCAATCTGTCTTTATGCCAAACTTTGGGTAGGTGGAAGTCGTTCGGCCATTAATTAATTTAGAACAAGGCATGGGATGTGTAGGTGCGGGTGCTCTTGCGTAAGCGGTATTCGGAAGCTAATACTAAAACCACTAAGAGTAAACGACCTGTTCCCACCCAAATTTTCGCAAAATGCCAAGTTCCCACCCCTGGTTTCATAAATTCCAGATTCTCACTCTTAAATTAACATAAAACCGTTTAATTTAATGATCAAGGGTAAAATGGTCCTTTGCTTTCCACTTTCTTCTTCCTCTCATCTTTGTTTTAAAAACTGGACCAGGACCCGACAACTTTTCCGGTCCGGTTTAGGTCATAGGGGGTTTTTATAATATTTTAAAATTATAAGGGTTAATAAATTTATAGGGGTGTTTTAGAGATATGTAAAAGTTTAAGGATTAATTAGTAAATTTTTGGGATATTTTTGAAATAAATAAAAATTTTAGGGATTACTTAAACTTTTTAGGGGAATTTTTGCTAGATATTAAAATTTAAAGGATTAATATGAAATTTTTTAAAATTAAAATTGTCGATGATATCATTGGTCCAACCGGTTGACCCGTGACCCGAACAGCAAAATGGATTGCTCTCCGGTCTGGGTTTTAAAACAATGCCTATCATCTCTTCTTCGTCACCATGCCAAGCAACTCCCCTCTCAATGTCCAGAATCCTTCAATTCCTCCCTAGCACAATCCACGCATCATCTCTAAATTTCAAAGAGGGAAATTGTTTCCAAACTCAATTAAACAAAACCACAACTACACAAATTTCACAACAAAACAATCGGAAAAAAACCCAATTCATAGCCGCTAACTGACACCAGAACTACAGAAGAAAAAAAAGCCATTGACTCTCCCACAAATCATTTCAAAACTCAATTCAACAAACCACAACTACAGACTCTAACACATAATCCACATCACAATCCAAATTTCAGGAGGGGAAAAACAACAGAAAATTTGAAAATTCAAAGGAAATATATGGCGGTGGGTGCGTAGGGCTTATTTGCAACCACTTCTTTCAATTTGAAAACAGCTGTGCATTTGGTTAGCAACTACATTCAGCGATTGAAGGCGGCCCAATCTGGCTTTGTGGAGGGCAGTGCAACTGCAGTCTTGGTGGTAGATCAGCAACGGAAACAGGAGCGCTTTGCTGCTTCTGGTTAGTCGGCGAACAAGGAAGGTAACGACTACGATTTGGCATCGAAAAGCGGCAAAAACCACCGACATGACATTGCCAGGATTGATTGCAATTGTCGTCACTTCTTGCTTCGTTCTTGAGGTCAGATTCTAGCAGGTATAGCCTAGTCAGCGCCGCCGCTGAAGCGCAATGGCTTTGGTTGGTTTTCTTGGGGATTTCTAGTTGTTGGTTTGGGTTGTGGAGTTTCATCGTTGGTCGTGTTTTGGTGGGCGATTTGGTGATGGGTCATATGCGGGGGTTAAAAAAAAAACAATTTATTTATTTATTTATTGAGGGCAATATGGTAATAGTTCTTCCATCTTGTGTCAGATCCTAAAAAATCTTTAACATTGTTGGTTTTTGGGTGGGAATCTGGAATTTATGAAACTAGGGGTGGTAACTTGTAGTTTCGTGAAACCTTGGGTGGGTACATGTCGTTTACTCAACTATTAATCACCAGTTAATACCTCCACTAGCAATGGACGTCTACATATTATATAATACAATATCCTAATTCCTAACTCTTTCCATCTCCATTTTTTATCTGAAATTTTTATGAGAGATAGTGCTGGATGACCCATGTTTATATATATATATATATATTGCTATTTAAATTAATTATTCTGAGTTCTGACTCCATTCCCTTTATGATAGGGGTATTGAGAAGGAATCAAGTTTTATTTGTCTGAGTAATTGCTGGACAGAATTCTTCCTACCATATTTTTTATAACTTTTATATTCTTTCTCCTTTTTGCCTTTGGCGTAATGGTATTAAGGCCAAAAGAGCATGCACACAGGCCTACTGAGAAGTGACATGGAGGAATTATTTAATTATTACCATGGAGCCTTTTAGAGGATTTTATATGTAACATCGACTGGTATATTTTCTAATAATGTAGTTGAAGATTTGTAACAGTATAGTATTTAGTTGAGATAGAATAGAATGTTGGGTTCATATATGTTACAAGTATTATTTCAATATTATAGTTTTATGTAAGGTACGAATGAATGACAAGACTGATACTCCAGGTTGATAATTCAATGATAAATAGCACAAAGCATTTACTAGAGGAACGAAAGAATTTCTGTGACCCCTGTTAAGGTTTACTGTGCGGTTAAACAAAAATCAATCGTAAACTTTATTCGCCTTCACTTAACACCACGTAACGGATAATCCAAGATAGGAAAAATGCAGAGTTTTTCTCTGTGGTTACAAAAATTAGGAAATTTCAAAGAAACTTTCTCAAAATATTCAAAACTTCAGAAAAGATTACCACTTATTTCTTCAAACTAGGAAAATCTTCTAGTCTAAACCGCAGGAGACCAACAAAATTTCTTTGAAAAGAAGAATAAAAAAAAAAACCTTTTATGTTGTACCATTGCTTTTTAAATTGTATTGGCTCTTGAGATTGCAGAAGCAGAAATGAAGCTTTATGGTGGCGATGGATTATTGGTTGTGAGAGGGTGACAATCTCGGTTGTTGAAATACAAGTAGCTGGTTTTACCTGAAGTTGTGGTTGTAGATAAGGGAGAAAACCCTGCATAGTCCTTCTCTGACTTCGTTAAGCATATTTTGGCTACATAATTAAACAGTCTATGCTTTCGTACAAATGGTTGTGCTGCATACTCCTCAGCTGCCATCCACTGTCAAACACAAACATAAACCAAAATCAATTTTATTACTCATTAATGATTATCAAAACTTGTTCACTGTTTCTTATCAAAGCAATTCTCATTTAGGATCATTGAGATTTGAGTAAATAGTAAGCTTTTCTTTTTGCAATAAAGATGGGTTCACAACTCAATCTTACAAACTTTCTTATAATCTCGACGTGATAGCTCGAAACTGGTCAGTTCTTAATTAAGCAGATGAGACCCATTATCAACTGATCAATTGCAAGCTGTCAGGTCAGGATTGTAAAAGAAAGTTTGTGATTGGATTGTAAGTATAGAATTGTCCTTCTTTTTTACCTTCCAAATAAAGTGTATAATCCTAAAGTAGTTTGTATTTGACTAAGAACAGATCAAAAATGTTCAGTGGCTAATTCAATCAATTTACATTTAAAACCAATATGTATATCATTGTCTACAAAGAAATTAAGCACCTGAGCAGCTTCAATTTCCGAGTCTTGTTTCTGAATATGAAAAGAGCGTGGTCTTAGCATGCAAACGAAAAATAAATCTGATTTCCGGAAGAATGATTGGTGACTTTGCCTGTCAAAGAAAAATAAATCTAATTTCCGAAAGAATGATTGGTGACTTTGCCTGTCAAAGAAAAATAAATCTGATTGCCGGAAGAATGATTGGTGACTTTGCCTGTCAAAGAAAAATTTAAAAAGTAGCATAGAGATTGTCAAATGGCTGACAATTGCATAGGGGAAATCAATTACACGTCAATTCAAAGGAAGAAATGTTGCTACCTGAAGGCCAAAACTTCCACAAATTCTGCGTCAACCTGAAACAAAATGAAGCAAAGGGTAAATTATAATTCTGCTTTTGTTAAACCTGAGAAAAAGATAGATAATCTGAAACTCAGTACTGTGTCCATAAATTGCTGATTTCACACTTACTCCTGTCTCTTCTTTAACTTCTCTTACTGCAGCTGTACAAATATCCTCACCCTTTAGTGGGTGATACAATTTTAGTTCAGGAAAAGTTCTTGTTAAAATAAAATAAAATAAAAAAGCACCATACTTTCAAATGAACTCACCTCATTAACAACTCCGGTAGGGAGCTTCCACACACCTGTACCTCTGAATTTGCCACTACTCTCCTGAACTACCAGAACCTACCAAAATGCGATAATTCAACTTAAAACAAGTTCCCTAACCAACAAAGTAAGATCTTTGTTTTAGCTTAATTTATTGTTGAGACTTAATTAGACAGTAACAAACATTAGATTGGTGATAACTGATAAGAATAGGTGAGGAACCTCTCTATTATGGTTCATGACAAAGGCACCAACACCAACGCGATGCGAAGCATTTTCAGGAAGAGTATCTGGGATTTCAGGAATCCAGTGCACAAGCATCAAGTAATCTGGTTCAGCATGGTGGTATCTGAATCCTTGCTGTATAATATTTTGCAGAACAAGATTAAGAAACTCAGTCAAATGTATAAGAGAATGAAAACCGAAAGGACAAAAGATATTAATTTTATTTAAATTACCTGAACTGCAGGTTCAACAAGATTAGCAAATCCAATGGGCAATTTAATCCAAACACCTTTTTTCCCCTGCAAAATTTGACTGTCACAAACTGAATATACATATACTCTTGCAGTAAGTTATATTGGTTAAAAAATGAATAAACTCATTACCTTCTTCCTCCAATATGATAATGAAGATTTAAGCGCAGAAGCAAACAACTTGGAGTCCATAGGCTTTTCCATGTCTACTGTAACTCCTCCATGTAAATCATCAACTGCGTTAAGTAATTCAACATGTTGAACTTCATTACTTTCAAGTACCACGGGCTTCTCAAGAGGTAATGAACTTGTTGAATCTGGCATGTTTCTGATAAGAGATGGGATTCTTTCGTGAGGTGCTGAAGCAATAAAAAGAGAAAGTTGACTAATCATTAGACTTTGAAAACAAGCAAAGCCAATGGGGTGAAAAAAGTGATATCCAAGTCATAACAAATATAGGAACATGACCAAACCCACTGAAATTTCCAGAAATTAATAACAACCACCTAGGGAAAAGTTTGCATCAGAAATTTAGATTTACATGCATATATTATTTATAAAATGAGTCAACCTTTTGAACCGGTAAACCGAGAAGATAATGATGGAGTGGTAGAAACGCAATTTGTGTTTGATAACAGAGGAGAAGTAACAGAAGATGGTAAAGAATTTCTGTTGGCGAAAGAGTATTGCAATAGCTTGCTGGTTCTAAAGACTCTCTGCATGAAATTAAATCAAAATAATAGAGATCTTAGACTCTCCGGCATGCATGCATATATAATATATGATTATATACAATCTGCTGAGATTATTTATAGGGGTTAGAAAGATTGATATCGTGTCAAAAGGGTAAGCTTCAATATTTGAACGTTTCAATTATTATTGGTTGAACATTGAATTATGAAGCTGAGTAGAAATTACTGTATGCTTTCTCTTGAAAGACGTCGGAATATAAAGCCCTTGTTAATGTCAACAAAAACGATTGGATAGTGGCTTTGGTTTATGGTGCAGTTTTTTATTCATGATTTTAAATAGAATTTTGCAAATTTAGACAAGTGAAGTGTTGAGAGGGTTCTTGGTTCGTGGTGGGCATTTTCATGTTGTTTCAGCGGGAGGCAGGACGCGGCTTTTAAATCAACTGGGCATTACGCGGTCTACTGCGGCATTTTGATTAATATTATCACACTTATACTGTGTTTTTATTTTTTTTTTAACATATAAATGAAGTCCAGTCAACTCTAACACCAGAGTCCAATTGACTTTAGCACTAGAGCAATTTTTTTTTTATTTCTTATTTTAAAAAAAATTAAAATAACTTTTATATATATTTACTATTTTTCTAAAAAATAATATATATTATGTCTTAATTTTTTTAAATAAAATATAATTAGCTAATTTATGTGTTAGTTAAAGCATGAAAATTGTGAATACATTATGAAAGACTTTTCATTTTATAAAGCATTAAAAGGTACTATATAAATCTAAAGGGTTGACCTGACAATCAAGAATATTTGATCCTTCTTTTTTTTATTTTGGGTTGGTGACCAGGCCCTAAAGTTAACAGTCGAGTAAACACCCTATTACAATCAAGGTGAATTGAACTCAATACCTCTTCGGTAATACACTACGAGTCCTTATTCAACCACTTGGCCACTCAAGGATGGATGGTTTGTTCCCTTTCTTGAGTTTCTAGGTTTAAACATTGGGGTCATCTACTATAATAACATATTAACATTATGGCTTACCTGATCCTTTGGATTTGTAGGGTATTTAATGACCATATGGATTAGTTGGGATTAGTTAAGGTGCTCGCAAGCTGGCCCAAACACCCCACTTAGAAAAAAAAAGAGGGCATTTTTCAAGAAATAACCTGACAAAATTAAATAATAAGATGAAGTAAATAGAAGATCAATTGTTTTAAAGGTAAAATTTGCATAAAACTTTTATTAACCAACCATCAGGTCCATCACCGACAATTAAGCATAATTAGTCTTTGATATCATAGTTATTAGTATCCTATGATACGAGATACATATCTTACGATACGATTCAATACATGTCGTCAACAATACATATCAGAGAGTATATCTTAAACCTTTCGATACGCTAATATGTATCCTATGATAATTTACGTACTGGTTCGAATCCTTAAATATATCGATACAAACCGATACGACTTTATTAATTTGAGCCAAAGCCCAAAAAAAAATTTACAGTTCGGATTCGGGTCAGCCGACCCAATTCACTAAAACCCGCCCAAATTTATCCTTCCATAATTTTACCCTAGCTAGATTCATTCCTGGTGAAAGAGCAGCTACGCCTCTTGGTCCCCACTCCTCAACAATTAAACCAATTAAGTTGGACATCACCCAAGTTTTGGACGATTTGATTCAGGTAAATTAAGCTGCTCCTTTTCTCTTCTCATTATTGATTTAATCCCTTGCTTTTTGTTGAAGACTTTACAAATAATGTAATATTACAAAACCCTTCATTTATTCGTCTTGTTCATCATAAATCAAAAAGTGATTTTACTTTCCATGGGTTACTTACGTTATTTATGCAGTCCATGAATGGCATTTAACATGCTATTGCTTTATTGCTTTTAATCGAATAGGGGAGCCTAGTTACAAAGTTAAACCCTTTTACATGGAATCCTCTCACCTTTTAATATTCAGTCAAAGTAACCATTTGGGTATTTGCCGTTAAACAAATTGCATTAAGGTCAAATTAATTTTGCCCAAATCTTTTTAAACTTTAGATTACAATATACTGGGATGAATATATGGTATTATTGAAATGCTAAATCTTTAGAATTAGATGAGGCCATCTTTTAATAATAATTTATTAAGCGAAACCAATCAACACAACAATAAGTTGAAATCATGGTCAAGACCCTCCTTTTATCTCATACACACGTACACCCATACAACTTCTTACATCATCTAAAAGGATTAGTGAATATTAAATAATAACATAAATGAAGAACAATAATATAAATGACGAGCATATACAGAAATGAAGAACAAGAACATAAATAAAAAACATATATATTAAACATGTTAAAGAACATAAATCTAAAATATTTATGAGATCTTTTGCTATCCGTAACATTATCGGAATATTATAACACCCTTGAGGTTGAGAGAAAGATTAGAAATATGAAAGAAATATTTAAGAACTATGGTAAAGATGTGTAGAGAAAATATGAAAGAGAGAAGTGAGAGATTCTTGGTCAAGAGAAATAAACAAGAGTTTTATAAAGTTCCTCCTTCTTCCGAGAAGGTAAAAAGCTTTATTTATAGATAAAATGTATACAACTACTCATAAATGAGTCATTGAATACATGACTAAACTTTTTGACTTTTTGACCTTCTTTTTTTTTTTTTTTTTTTTTTTTTTTTACATTTATTAGCCTACAATACTTGACTTTTACAAAACAACATACGAAAGATACTACATTGAGAGGGCAAATTGCTATTTAGTCCACCCCTATTTTACATAAATGACACAACCTTCTATTTTAAGACACATAGAGCTTTAATCATCTGACAAGTTGGTAACGTGCCACGAGTCTTCATCCTAGAAATCGAGACAACCCATTGATTGAATCCAGTTAACAGGGATTTGTCAGGAAGATGTATCTGGATGAGTTTCTGAAGAAATGTCTAAAATCTGAGATGTTTGCTTTACAGAAGTACTTGGTGCATGCATGTACTGTTGTCGCCTGGATTTATGGAGATAGTAATCACAAAACTGCTGAAGCTCTTCTTTCTGCACAGTATCTGGCTGCAAGTCTGGGTACCACCATTCTGGATAATCTGAATTGGCATCAAATTGAGCAATGATGGAACGTATGCATGTCTATTTGGCTTGGAGTAATTTCCTAGTATAGGCTGGAGGAAAGAGTTCCCATGGAGCATCATCACGAAAGGATGGTCATATTTCATCTAGAATGATCTGATTTTTTTCAAAAAGGATTTTTTAAATTGATCTAATCTCAACAGGATGGTCAAACATATTATGAACTAGGTCATATGGATAAGACCGATGAAATGTGACTTGATGCTGAGAAAAATAGAGGCCATCGGATCTGATGGAGTGATGTCTGTGGAAAAACATGATAGACCATGCCAATTTGGTAGACATAAGACCTTTGTACCAGGCAAGCTGATGAGCAAACACATATTTCCATTTGTCGAGGGTTTTGAACCATCAGAGAAAGGTCATTAAAGAGCGTAATTCAGGGGTTGAGGATGACTGATATTGGAAAATTATTTTCAGCATATGATGGATCAAGAATTGAATGGCAATGTGGTACTGGTGTAACATATACCAAAAGAACCATAATAATTCTTCTAGAAATATGATATCAAGACCTAGAGGTAAACAAAAGATTTTGAAAAAGGGTAGTCTGGATGGACACCTAACATATCATACATAGATTGTCCACATTTTTCAATACATTGAATCTGATAAGAAAACATGAGGGTAGTAGCATTTTCATCAATGGTACAGTTCGAACAAGGTCATCAAATTCAGGAGGTACGTCTGAAGTATGGTTTGGTGAAGAAGATGATGAACATGAACTGGATTAGGTTAATGGTTGGAACATGAAACAAGGAAGAGGTTTGGATCTAGGGTTCATGAAACCGACTTGTTTAGTTTTAGGTCTGGATAAATAATCTGCAATGGTGTTGGTGTGACCTTTGATGTGCTAGACGGTGAAGGAATATTTGCTGAACTATTTTGCCCATCGAAGTAATTGTTGATGCGGAACCTTTTTCTTGTTGAATCAAAGCATTTGATCAAAAGACTTCATATTCGTTTCAACAAAGAAGTGATGTCCAACAAGATGGAATTCAAACCTTTCAATGGCATTTTTTACTGCCAATACTTCCTTGAAAGTAGAATGATTATGCTGCTGGTGTGGTTTGAATTATCCACCCTGGTATCCACACAAATGTCGTACCTTGTCATCATCTTGTTCAAAAAGCACTGCACCCCAATGAGTGTCACTAGCATCTGTCTGAAGAATTCGTTTCCCAGAAGAAGGAATCTTCAACGGCTGTGTATGGAAGGATGTGCGCTTGAGACTCTTGACTGCACTTGTTTGCTTTATAGACCATGAAGGAGGATTCTTCTTAAGCATCTAAGAAAGTGGAGTAGTGAAACGAGACATGTTGGGAATAAAATTGCGCATGTAATTGACAATTCCCAAGAATTGTTGTATTTCTTTCTTGATTATGAGAACATCTGGGAATTTTTGCAACTCATTAGCAATATGAGGCTGAAAATCATACTTGCCGTCAGCAATCACCATACCAAGAAAATCAATCTTTGTTTGCCCTAACTGCATTTTCTTCTTAGAGAGCATAATACCATAAGTGTGTATGATATCAGTAAAGTCACAAAGAAGACATATATAAGATTTCTCATCTTTTGAAAAGAGAAGAATATCATCAATGTAAATGAGACATGTATGCAGAAGGGGAGCAAAAATCTTCGTCATGGCTTTCTGAAATAGGGAAGGAGTGACCTTAAGCCTAAAAGGCATGATCGTCCACTAGTAGTGTTGGTTGGGAATGCAGAAAGCAGTCTTAGGACGATCATCAGGATGAATTCCAAGTTGCCAAAATCCAGCTTTGAGATCAAATTTGGAAAACATCTTTGCATTATGGAGATTAGCAAAGAGACTTGTCTGGAAGGCAGAGGAAATTTATCATCACAGAGAAAGAAATTCAATGGCTGATAATTGATA